TAGTCTTAATAGTTCAGTGTATCAACTACCAAGAGAGCTTTCAAGTTTCTTTCGTTGACTGGATGACGTACATTTCAAAGTTTTTTTCGCATTTTTGCGATGAGATCTCAAGTCCCGATTTGGCCAGGAATTTCTTTCAAAGCCCGAATAATTTGGTTTTGCACCGAAGTGTTTTACGGGGAACTCTTTTAGGCACCTCGAGCAACCACAGGTTGCGTTATGTGCCATAAACCCCGCAACTTTTCTTGCTGCCGGAACATCGCAGGCAATACATAGAAGAGCGACACGTACAAAAAAGCATCTCCAGCCTTGGTGAAACATATGTCCTTTCCAAAGGGTCAAAAGTTCATCAACGGCTGGCTTGAGAATGGAATTTAAATCATGTTTGGGTTCACCTTCAATGAGACAGAGTAACACTACATTTTCTCTCTTGTATCTTTCTTGTCGCGGCAAATCTGCGAAAACACAGTAAATAGCTCCTACAGATCCTGGTGCATGCTTGAATGGGTTAAACCAGTCAACATTCATGATTAATGCGAGGTTGTTCCGATCTTTTAGAAAACGTTGTTCTTCAAAGGTCTGAAAGTCCTTCCAAACTTTGCCGTCATGAATGTCACACATTTCTTCTAATTCAACATCATTTTCAGTCTGCCTCCATTGATTACATATTTCGAAAAAGTTCTTTCGAAATATAAACTTTTTTAGCGAGCTGAACAGGCTTCGGTACACATAGACTTTTCAAGGATACCAAAAAACATTTCCAGTCTTTCCTCTCACTTTCTTCATTAATTTTTCTCCGCATGCATCACATTTCCGTATCTGTGGGTGATTTGGCCACTGTACATTTGAACAGGAGTTGCTAACTACACGACCATCGGGCAACGTTTTTGTACAATGTTCTTTGGAGTACAATGTGTAACTTTTTGGACAGGCAGTGTAGACAGTGAAGTCATCAGTGCTAGCCCCAACTAAAGCGCGAACAGTTGCCAAACTTACTGGAAATGATTCCGCAATATTCTTTATAATTTCTGAACCACTTACATCAGCGAGAATACCAATCAGGCTTTTTAAGAATTTCAGAAGCACAACGATTGCTGACCCAGAAATGCCAAACGAAGCTTGCCATAACAATAGAAAAAGAGACATGGCCCCAATTATTGACGTTGTAGGCAGGGCACATGATTTTTCTTCGGGCGCGTTGTCTTCCCTGTTTTCAGTTGTATCTGGTACATCTTTAGCCTCCCAGATCTCTTCATCCGTGCTGCTACTCTCAGATTTGCTATCATCATTGCTGCTAGTGTCGTCTGCTATGTCATTTTGTTGTGTCCCTGCTAAATTCTCTTGGAATTGGAATTCCACTTCTTTCTCAATATCTTGCAGGGCATTATCTTCACATAATGTTGAAGATTCCCCTTCTCCAAAAAGTACTTGAAATTTCGAACTATCTGGAAAATTTACAGAACCTTCGCCTATAAAATAGAGGAAGGAAATTTAGGGGTGATTTCACTGATGACATGAAACTTTCCAAACAAACATGCATTATTTCATAATTTTCATTTTGCTCCACTTTATCAAGAGTGCATATCATTGTTCACAACTGACTTCAGAGTAAAACAAACAACCTATGTATAGGTCCAAGGTTTCTAAAACTGATTTTACTGATAGCGCTAAGGTTTGTCAATGCGAATGTTTTTTATGCAATATGCAAGTTGAACATCATAAATTATTATAAAGGTATTATACTGGGTTAATTGTGTATGCTAACTGGCAAGTGGTTTTCTTCAATCCATCATAAAAAACAATGCTGAAATATATACTACATATATACGTACCTTCATATACGTCATTGATGTTAGAACTATCCACTCTCCACTTCCCTCTTTGATTATCAATAAAGCGCATTCGATGTTGTCGATATGTAATGTACCTAACATTTTGATTACAATGTGGACAATGCTGCCTTGCACGTACCTTTCCCATGAAGTGTTTATTTCAAACAGTATATTATCGCAATAACTCGTTTTTACACACGGTTTATCGGTAATGCAGTAATTCTATCGCTTTTTTGCATCCATAGCTTTGTCAAGTTTGGCTTAAAAGACTTGCGTGATATGTGAAATCTATACTCCGATTTGTTCATTGCGTTTTGACTAGGGCCAAATGTATAAAAAGTCCATTTTTGTATAGGTATAAATAGGGTTAGGGTTGTTGTGATATTGGTATGTTTTGAATGAGATGAATATATCATGCATCACGTGAAATTTGAATTTGTATCGAATACGTCGTGTTTCATGATTAAAAGGGAGCATTAGCTACATATATATAAACTGTGCTGTATCATTATACTACATACAATCATAGATTATGTAAATTTAAGAGCGGCTTGTCTGTCTGGTACCGAATGGAATGAATTTCATACCAATAATCACAAAGAAAACATGCCAAAGCTCACTAATTTTGGCTTGAAACTTGAACGAAAATAAAATGAAACATTTCGGCATTGACAAACAAGCGCATGATATCATATGGGATTAAAAAATTGTGTTACTATCATAATCCATTTTATTATTAATCGTGCAATAATCAATTTAGAGCACTGTCAGAATATGGCACGCCGATTGTAGCAATATTCAAACCACCAATATATGCTAAATTCAATGAAAAATCTAACCAATTCAATAAAAAATCTTATTCAATTCAATAGAAAACTTATTTTAATGCAATAAAAAACTTATTCAGTTCAATAAAAAATATTCAATTCAATAAAAAATATTCAATTCAATGAAAAATTCAATTCAATGAAAAATTCAATTCAATCAAGCGCGGTCGCTAAGCAAACTTGTCGACGGTTTCCATGACAATGGCTGCCATATTTTTGCATGTAATTTTCCCGCGGTTCCTGCAAATTATCTGTGTTTTGAAAATGGACAACGTTAACAATCGTTTGCGTTATCTTTCTCGCCATTTGACGGAAGCCAGTAATATAATATCCACTTTAATTGAACAATCTGATGCACCTACAACGTCTGCACCATCTCCTGCAACTACAACAACAAGTATGTCCAGTACAACGTCTGTCGGCTCTGTATTAAGTCGGGCCCGAGCAATGATTTCCCAATCAATATCTAATGGTGCTTGTTCACGACTTGGAAGAAGAGAACGTTTGAGAGCTACATCTCATCAGCAAAATCCACCGAAAAAGCAGAAGAAGGACGAGCAAAAAGTGTTTGAGTTTGTAATTGTCGATATAAGAGAAGGTGAGGCAAATTCGTGGTCATTCTCGGAAGACATCGTTTTACTGCGAGGAATTATTGAAATCAGTAACAGCTCAGGCGAAAAAGAAGTGCGAGAGAAAATTGGAACAGCAGCTCGAATGAAATACAGCGTTCTCAACAACGAAGATTTCGAATTCTTGCGAGCTACAAGACGAGTGTTGACCAAACCGGTCAACAGTGGAGCGTACGACTTCAAACAGGTGAAGTTGTTGGCTGGACAAGGTTCTATTTATTTAAAGCTAAAAGACCACATTTACTGTTTATTACAAGAAGAAGAAACAAATGTTGACGACGACGGTATGTTTTCATTGTTTTGAGCACGTATGTAGCTCAGTAGTAGCTATAAATAAATGGCAGGAGGGCGATGCTATTAAAACCAACAGGCTCACAAGTCATGAATTTTACATAAGAATTGCTCTGGTCACAAATCCTGCATGGCCATAGAGCAGCATGGAGGATTCCACCCCTCGGCCCCCTCCCATGCAACTTCTGTGTGGATTATGCCTTGGATTATGTAACAAGGAAATAGGAATTAATTAGGGGAGGCCCCAGTGGCAGGTTCAGGGTAAGTCAGAATAAATTACATGGCCTAGTAATTTATATTTACCCTGGTTTACCCTGGATTTCCCCTGGACAACCCCCCTTTCAATACTGCTGGTCTATCATGTATAGTAAGTCAACTTCAAAAGAAAGAGTCAATTGTTTGTATTTCATGTTTATAGGTGTTAGTTTCATGACTTGTATTTTCATGACATGACTTTCATGCAACCTTCTTTATTCTGCGATTGGTTCTGATTCGTGGAATACATGAATGTCAACCTGAACCAACATCTGAAGCTTCGTCAAGAATTGTTGAGAATTGTTCCGTTGTTGCTGGGCCTGAAAATGCCAAAGTTGATGACCTTGCTACAATGACAGTTAACTATTGTACATCACATAATATTGAAGATCCTATAGAGGTACTGAGGTATTTTCAAAAAATCATGGTTGAAGGCAGAGCCTTGGGCATTCAAGATGTTAATTTGGTTGAAGAAGGAGAAACCAACCTCATAATGGTTGACCGCTATAACATATTAGAAACATCATTTGAAGAGATAAAATCCTTGGAAAATTTACGCAAAACACTTGAAGTGCAGTTTTATGGGGAAGTAAGTTTGTTAAGCTTTCACTGTTTTTTTTTTCCTTTTCGTATCATCTAGATACTTTTCTATTAACTGCCCATATATACATGTAAATTATGTATTGTTATGTTTATGGTTTGGGGATAAGGGTTAGGTTTTTATTTGGGTCTTCCATAAATTTAAAGACAAATACCATAACCATACCTAGCGCAAATCAACATTGAACCGAAAAAGATTGTAGAAAAATGGCCAAACTTAATAACCCAGTCACAGACCTTAGAAGCATCAAATGTAGACTTGAACATTGACCTGACAGATATATATATATATATATATATATATATATATATATATATATAATATATATATATATATATATATATATATTAGATTAAAATACTTTAAAGCATTGCATCACCTGCAGTGCATACAGGTCACATGCCCATACTCTATCTCATTAAACATTCACCAGTGCATGTAATGTAATTGGTAGACAGCACAAGACCTTGGAGGACCTCGAAAGGAGTTTTTTTCGATTGTGGTTCAAGAAATATATAACAAATACTTCAAAAATGGCTTAAAAGAATATATTTCTGAAGACTATTGTACAGCAGGAATTATATTAGGTAATTATACATATAAATATAGGGAGTTATAATGCAATTAAAAACCAGATATCAAATTTGCCCACACCCCCAATGAAAATGATTTCAGACTGTAATACAGAAAAAGACTCAAAGCAACAATTTGAAAGCTCAAAAAATTTCAATGCAACATTTAGCTTACATTGCCTCTAAAATATAAAGTATCAATGTAATTTGTCTTTAGGACTCAGCATATTACAAAATGGAAAAATACCTTACTTTCTAAGTGATAGTTCCCTGAAAATTGTTTTTCATTCTGTTCCTCTGAATGGTTGTCTTCATCAACTGCGTCTGGGTTTTGAAAAACTTGGCATATATCAGGTACTTAATCCAAAAAATGTTCATAATTGAAATTGCTATTTATCAAACCAAGTGAATATGGGTTAATAAACAATTAATAAGGCATGGTCAACCAAAATAGATTGCACGTTATTGTTTACATCAGGTGAAATTTACAACTTGGTTCAGGACAGCCTGTGCATGTTAATGCCAATTATTTATATTTAATTGAATAAATATGTTTATTAGGTTGGAATGCAGTTACCAAATTTCCTAAATATCTTCAATCACAGACAAACCAACCTGACCTTAAGATCATTTGTCAACCTATTTAAGCCCATTTTCAGCGAGGAAGGCTCCAACAAAAGAAAATTTGAAAATGATGTTTATGCAGTGTTTGTGAAATATCTTAGAAAGGTTGCAAGTAAGAATTAAGTTACTGGGACCGAATATAATTTGCGTTTAATTTATTCAATGCCATTTGAATAGAATTTAGCTGTAATTTTATGCATGCACTCCTAACTTTTTATCGACTTTAATATAATATTTAACCACTTCTAATTTTAAATAATTTCTTGCAGATGGTGAACGTAGTGGTATTTCACTGAATACTATATTGCGATTTGCTACATGTGATGATGAAATACCTCTTTTAGGCTATGAATACTTAGCAAAACCATCAATCACGTTTTATGAAGTTCCTGAAAACAAGTCATTCTTTCCTACTGCAAATACATGCTGTAGTAAATTACAGTTACCAAGACCTACAATTGAAGTAGGTCTCCCAGATGATGATACGCTATTTAATTTCTATGACATGGCTTTCGTTAATGAATATTTTGGACATAAGTAATACATATACCTTAAGTCCTTAACTAAAGCAGTAAAACTAATTGCTTAATTTGTGTTCTGTTGATAAGGTATAATAATTATCTGCCAGTCAGATAAAATTTTCTGTGTTATTGTTATTTTTGTTAGTAGAAACGGTATATAATTATATAATTATGTATCAACTCTAGATTTTGAATCATGAAACATTTTTAAAAGATTCTTTGTTTTATCAGATGTAGACTAAATAAGAGTATTGTTACTATTGTATATAATAAAAAAAGTTATGATTTGTTTCTACAGCTATAGTTGTAGAATTGTGTGGTTTATAAGTATAATTACTAGCAATGTTTATCTCTAATGTGTTTCATCTGCATTCAGCAACCCTTGAATTAGGGTAAGTGCTTCTAGGTACACATCAATTCCCATATTATTGGAGTCTCTTAAGGGATTTACTACTTGCAGAACTCTCATGAATCCTATGTCAGGTGTTTCATAAATGGGAGAAACAACAACATTGTTATCACTGTCTTCAAATGGTGAAGGCGCAAAAGGATCATATCCATAATATTGCAAGTCATCTGGCGTTTCATCTAAGACATCATGTTTTAACGGATTTTCTTCATTCATCATTCCATTAAGCCACATTTGATTGGGTGACCAATTATTAGCTGTTCTAACACCATGCTCATTAAAAGCTCTCTTGTATTCATGGAGTGCTTGGTTGATTCTGGGTAAGAATACATAGTGCATTATAAACACATGTGTGGGGTTATCTAGAAATAAATACCCGGCATCTTCCATTGCGTAAAACACGTAGTAGAAATAATGTAAAACACAACGAAATACATCGCGCCATAATCGTTCGATACGTTGATTGTGAGTCGAGGGTCCTGCAATAAAGCTTCCTCTCCCTTCCCCTCTTGCCTCAACCATAGCATCACAGACAAGGACATTCTCAACGCCTCTGTCTACGCGTATGCGTGATGGCCATAATCCACCATCTTCCTCAATTGCATTCAAAAAATGAGAAAGGACTGTTTCTGACAAGTTGTTAGTGCTACAGTGTAAGAAGATTACTCTCCTAGAGAAACCGTCGATACAACCATGGACAACAAAGCCCCAGCGTATGAGCGAATGATGCCCGTCTAAATGCCAAAGAGAGTTTGGCCATGGGACATAATACTGCCTTCGGTGAACAATTGCTCCCCACCGTCGCATCACATTTTCTGGGCTTAGACGAGGGATGCATTCCCGTACGCGCTGTCTCTGAACACGGATTCCAAGGGAACGTAAGTATCCTATAATGTATACTTGCCCTGAATTATTCCCATGCCGATTAATGTAACTAGAAACCAGCGCATCCAGTTCATTATCAGATATTAGAGTAAACTCCACTAAGTTTGTGAGGCCCATATCTCTTACTCTTCTGTGAACAGTCCATCTGGATACACCCAATATCTGAGCAATTTTTGTCCACGAAAAACCATAACCTCTCAGGTCTTCTAGCATCTCTGCTGAGATGTTAAATGATGGTCTTCCTGGTTCACCCGTTTGCCTCACTTCGCAATTTAATATTGAAATCACAGTCGGCCTTTCTAGTAACTCAAATTGACGGAGCTGAATGATGGTTAATAATTCTGAGAAAATTCCAGCCAAAGTTGCCCAAGTATGTCTATCGGCGTCATCATCTTCAGCAACAGCTCTAAGGAAACTCACAACTTGGTCAAGCACGGTTATTTGGCATAGCATAGAATTTGAATCAACCTCACCGTCAATATTTCCCAACATTTGCTCTATTCTTTCCAAAATAGAAAGCAAGAGATTCAGTAGCTCCACTTCTAACTCTGCAGTTATTTCTGCATCTAATCCGTTGTCACTAATGATATTTGTTTCTTCTGCAGAATTCATACGTATTGCGATTTATGAAACAACTATTTTACACTCAAGGAAAGAACTCCACTAGTATCTGATGATCTGATTTAAAAAATAATGGCAGCCGTTGTCATGGAAACCGTCGACAAGTTTGCTTAGCGACCGCGCTTGATTGAATTGAATTTTTCATTGAATTGAATTTTTCATTGAATTGAATATTTTTTATTGAACTGAATAAGTTTTTTATTGCATTAAAATAAGTTTTCTATTGCATTGAATGAATTGAATAAGTTTTTTTATTGAATTGGTTAGATTTTTCATTGAATTTAATATATATTGGTGGTTTGAATATTGCTACAATCGGCGTGCCATATCAGAACAATAATTGAGCAAAAAGAAGACCAAGACGGTTTGGAAACATTTGACGTGGAAGAAAGGTATTATGTGTTCACTTTCTGTAATTTTAACGCTGTGGTCACCGTATATGCATACAAGGAATAAAAAGGAAACTGTGAACCTAAACAAAAAATGGGAAAAATTGTGTTTGGTTATAGCTTCCGGCTGGGCTAAATTTGCCAAATAAATTATTTTTCTATGCTATGTTTAGCACGGTGATTATATATGAACTACAGGGATACAACCTTGGTGAAACCAAAATCTTTCATATATAGCATTGTCATAGACTAAGTCCCATTTTTCAATGCAGTTTTTTGTCTTTCATATAACAAATACCCCAAATACCGACTGTATCGAAAGCCATGCATGCATTTTAATTATCGCGCACGTTGAGTGGCTATATTAATTTGAAAATATGCTTTGTATGCACTTTATCATCAATACATACTTATACGTATATTACAAGGAACAAGTGTATATTATATTATAAATATAGAAAATGGTTTTAGAAAGGCAACAGGTTATGCTTGAATACAGTCAGTTGCGTATAAGTGCACGCATAAAGTGATTACTAATGTTTCAAACCCTTTTCCTAATTGATGTAGATTTCCTTTTATTTTTGATTTCAGAGCAGACTCCCCAACGAATCAGATGAAGATTAAGAGTCTCGCAAGAGAGGTTTATGTCGCAGAAAAAAATTTGGGAAAAAAGACTTCTTTTGAGACGGCAAAAGGTTTGTGTATGTAGCTTTTTATACCATGCATGCAAGAATTGGGAACCAGGAAAGACAGCAGATTAGCTAGATATTTCATTAATACGTGTGCTTCTCCTCTACCCAGCTTTTTACAAGGTGACCATTACATGATGTATATATTAAGTATTTCAATTTGATAAGCGCAAACGTATATATCTGCACTTCTCTATAGGATAACTAAATTGTAATAGAAAATCTGGCTCGTGTCCTGATGTTTCGTCTGAATGCACACAGATTGATCATTGCATAATGTATATTATTAATTAAGAAACACTTTCTGCTAAATTCAGTTGCATATACATAGTTTCAGAAATCACAGTTTTGTTAAACAGCAATGTCCGATCAATTGTGATTGTACAAATTTATGCTAACTCTTTATCTCTTTATCTTAATATCGTAAACACTACAGTATTTCACTTCAAATTTGTAAATATCTTCTATATACCATAAAAAACTTTTCTTCTGCCTGATAATCTTCATTTAATAATTACTGTAAATACCAAAGTAATCTAAAAAGAACACAACTAGTGGCCTAGTTACAAAAGCCTGCAAAGGTTTCTAGTAGGTCTCTAGCCCAAATATCTATATTGTAATAATGTATTAATATTAATATTTGTAATGTACATGGGAAAATAAAATTTAAAAAAAAAATATATATATATTAAATATTTTAATTTGATAAGCGCAGAAGTATATATCTGCACTTCTCTATAGGATAACTAAATTGTAATGGAAAATCTGGCTCAAGTCCTGATGTTTCGTCGGAATGCACACAGATTGATCATTGCATGATGTATATATTAAATATTTTAATTTGATAAGCGCAGAAGTATATATCTGCACTTCTCTATTATAGGATAATTAAATTGTAATATGCTCGTGTCCTGATGTTTTGTCTGAATGCACACAGATTGATCATTGCATGATGTATACATTAGATATTTTAATTTGATAAGCGCAGAAGTATATATCTGCACTTCTCCATAGGATAACTAAATTTCAATGGAAAATCTGGCTTGTGTCCTGATGTTTTGTCTGAATGCACACAGATTGATCCTTGCATGATGTATATATTAAATATTTTAATTTGATAAGCGCAGAAGTATATATCTGCACTTCTCTATAGGATAACTAAATTGCAATGGAAAATCTGGCTCGTGTCCTGATGTTTCGTCTGAATGCACACAGATTGATCATTGCATGATGTATATATTAAATATTTTAATTTGATAAGCGCAAAAGTATATATCTGCACTTCTCTATTATAGGATAACTAAATTGTAATGTGAAAATCTGGCTCGTGTCCTAATGTTTCGTCTGAATGCACACAGATTGATCATTGCATGATGTATATATTAAATATTTTAATTTGATAAGCGCAGAAGTATATATCTGCACTTCTGTATAGGATAACTAAATTGTAATATGAAAATCTGGCTCGTGTCCTGCATGATGTTTCGTCTGAATGCACACAGTTTGACCATTGCATGATGTATATATTTATAGTCTTTCACATGATCATGATCATGCCTGCAGGCTACTTATTTTCGTGTAGAAGCGGTCAAGATCCACTTTCAATCCAGAAAGAAATTGGCGCGCAATCCCATCACACCAAGGAAAAAGAGAAGAATGTGCATGCGAAGCAGAAGGGAAAGGGTATGTCAAAATCGTTTTCCAGAAGAAGCAACGACACGTTTAATATAATTTATTCCGTTGATAATGACTTTTTTGTTTTGTGTGACTTATTTAGTTGTTGGAAAGGCGATTAAAAGTTGTAACAGAGGAAGAACTGGAAGAATTTGGTGCAATTCTGAAAGTAGGGTACATGTCAGAGGATGAAGATGACACTGATGGGGAAGGTTGGCGCCACTTGGAATTGCCTTGGAGAACGAACAATGTGACGCAGTTCCTTAGGACTTTGGACAGTCGAATTAAGGATACCAAGAAAGAATTTATGAAAGAACGGACAAAGAGAACCAGTTCTGGGTTATCTTTTAAGA